CCTGACCCTTAATTTGAACACACTTGAATGCCCGTCATCCAAGGATACTTTGTAGCACGTATGGTTGAAATTGGCCCAGTAGGTCTTGAGAAGAAGATGAAAATGTGAACCGTGTACTACAACGATGCCAACAACGACGACGACAGACAAAGGACAAATTTTGATCAAAAAGCTCACTTGGGCCTTTGGCCCAGGTAAACTAATTAAAGTGATAGTGATTATTTAATATTTCATTGTCTTGAGTGAGAATGAAAAATAAAGAAAAAATAATTTAAAAAATTATAAAAGATTATCTTTGAAATGAAGAATTCAAAGCAAAAATCTTTGAAGTTGCAAATATTATTATAATACAACTGATGACGTGTTTAAAAGAAGTAAAGTTAAAACTTTTAATGAATTGATGCAAATTTAGACTAGTGTAGTAATGGACCTTTGTTATATACGGTATTATATAAAGTGTAAGAAAAATTCCATTCTATTTACCAGTTTTTGATCAACAAAAAGAGTTGTGAAATGATTTGAATTTTAATACAAATAAATGAAAGAAAATTAGTACTCTAAGCTTCCAAGTAGCAAAAAAATCATCTATTAAAGAATTTTTACAACTGAAGAACTAGATAATGTTTGAAGAAATTAGGTAATAAATGTAAATTTTAGAGATATAAAGATACTTGTTTTCTAAGTTGTTAGGAATTGAAAGTGTTCATGTTATTTGATTAGAAGTAAATGAGGTAATATGGGATGTTTTTACCTGTGAAGTCAACATCCTTTTGATCTGCACTTGATTTAAGATCACTGAAGAAGAAATACATCATACAATATTTATGAAGTTGACACTTTCCGATAAAAAAAAAAAAAACGGTGTTAATTATTTCTCAATTACAAGATGATGAAGCTTAAGATTAAATTTCGATGTTATATAATTACAAAAACAATACAATTTGTGCCCTCAGGACTTATATCAAGTCATCTGAAAAATTGTCCAGATATGGAATCAGGTGCCCGGATATAACAATTATCACAATTTCAAAAAGGAGCGAATCTCACCATTTCACTGCAATTATTGCTGAAATTAAAAGAATTGTCTTTGTTAAATTTATTTACCCAGAAAAAATATTGAAATTTGCATGTTAAAACTTATAATATATAATAATAGACTTGAGTACAGGTTGATATATACAGTGTACCTCGAAAACTATGAGGAATATAATAAAAAGAAATAACGTTAAAACTTTTGAAAGATAATGGGATAAATATGTTTATATAGTAGTGTTGCATTATGCATGTACTATGCCTAAATAGTAGGCAGGGATTGACACATGGTGCACAAGCCGGAGGCGAGTGCACTATGTGTCAAACCCTGCCTACTATTTAGGCATAGTACATGCATAATGCAACACTATTGTTATTATTATGCTGACTGTTGTAATTATTTATGCGGCAATCCATCTGACTTTTTCCTGAAAATATCGGTGCTAATACAGCGCACTTACAAGAACTCATTCAAAATCTTCATGCTAAAATTGGTTGCATTCTTAGTTATTTTGGTTACTAGTATTATTTCTAAATAAGTCGGGATTTTCTGTCCCAAAGCAACTCATCTTTATTTTCTGTTTTGTGTAACACTTATTTGTTTGCAGACGTCGATTCCCATTGATAAATTTCTTTTACATCCTTCAATCAAGCGTCATATAAAAAAGCGTTTTAATGACCCTATGAAATAAGTTCATCTAACGATCTGTATGTAATTAGTTTTAAAACTTTGTTGTACACATTAATCTAAGGTTCCTTAGAATAATATAACTGTTTTCAAATAATAGTTGTCTATTTTCTCCTTCTTGTGTCAATTGTATAAATTAAGATTATATATTTAATAAAATTCTCCCAATCAGTGATCGTCTCTGTGGCGTAATCGATAAGGCATCGGACTGACAATCTCATGGTCGTCAGTTCGATTCCCAGCGTGTGCGATGAATTTTATTCAGTAAATAAAGCCGTGCACTATTTCGGCTTAGTATGTTTACGCTATATAAATCCTTAGACCACTATGCGAGAATAGTAGGATATGGGTTATATAGAGACAAACTGACAGGAAGCATAATAATGTATGTTAGAGAGAAAGGGTCATGAAATCTAATGGTCGAAATATAGCTGAAATAGTGACGACTCGGCATTAAACAATAGTTATATATCAATCAGCCAATCAATACAACAAAGTAAACCTAAAATCTTTATACTCACATTGGTTCCTCTTCCACAGTATGAAATTGATTGCACTTCCGATGACAACAATGACAACAGAGATAATAACTCCAATAATAATGCTCGTTTTGTCACTGTTACATGTAGGAGGACTGGAGATGGGTTTTTCTGAAATTTTTATTTTTCATTAGAGTTCATTAGAGTTTTAAATTTAATTTCTTTTTTACTTTAATGAATTATGAACAACTAAAAAATACGAATTTAACAACTGAACAACTAAAGCTAAAACAAGTGAAAACAAAGTGCCATTATGCATTTAAATGATAAAATTTAAATATGTATGTGAAAGTGAACCTTCATATTAAGAAACACTGTTGAGAGATGTGTATTGTTTCATTATGTATATAATTAGTAACATTAAGTTTCTTGAACATTCCAGAGTGGTCAACATGTTTGGTCATTTTATCTAGAACATTCTTAAATTTTGTGTATGTCCAGATTGTTCCAGTAATATCATGTTTTAACAATTTCTAGAATATTCTAGATTTATATTACTGTATAAACAGGTCTGGACGATTTCTAAATATGGAAGTCAAGAACGATAACCGCAAGTTGCTATAAATATATTTCCTAAACACATCAGATGGTTTTCTGTCCAATCAGAAAACAGGATTGTGACACACCTATTAAAAACCGTAAACAAAGAGCGCAAGTACACGTGGATTTTCTTTTTTCGTGAAAAAGATTTTTTTGATAAATTTTTTTGGAAATCAAATTAAATGTATTGGTTAAAAGAGATATTTACTACATTTTTACCGTGAACAAGCGATTATTTTCAGACATTTTACAGCATAATGACAGCATCATAAATTGGTATTGCAAAGACATATGTATGGAATGCATGTTGTTTAATTCTAGTTTATTAATACTTTTTTTCCAACAGATAAAATAAAAAAAAAGCATTTCTTTCTTTATTTTGTCAGAAAATGTACATCAACACCAGTGAATTGCTATGAAGAAACAATATCACCAATTATAAGCATGTATTATGAATTTATAATACAATCATGTAGTATCTTGAATACGAATCTTAACAAATAAAAAAATGACCGCGTGATAAAGAGAAATGCAAACATTTGTGCGCAAGTACATTTTTGCACACACACAAAATCAATTTAATTATTTCGTCGGTGGGAGTATCTTCGTATGTAAGTTCTGATAGTATTTAATGTACTTCCTCCTCCATTGTCTCGGCTTCAAACGATGCATATTCGACACGAATGGAATGAAGGAGAAGAAGTAAAAGTTCTTTCGTACCGTTTTTAATTTTTGAATATTGGAGTTGAAAAGAAGACCTTTCACTTTCTAAAATAATGGAATTAGATAACAAGGATTCAATTTCGTTTCGAATTTCATTTTTAGTTTTCTTTTCATCGGAATTCAGATAAGCTGATTCGTTTTCTGTCAATGGAATTTTTTTGACGGATTCATATTTCCTGTGATGTGGATAACCGATCTTTTTGATGGTTTCAGTCAAGTTTTTCCTGCGTTCGATGGAAGAAATACCGATGTCATAAAATGATTGTGAAAGTTGCATGTTGGATGCAGATTTATCGGAAGACAAAATTTTATTATTATTTCCAAATAAGAAATTGCGGGATCTGATAATTAAACGAAATGCATCCCGCTCTTCTTGGAAAGGGGGTAGTATTTTAGGACCTGAATTATGATTTAAGTTACTAAAAGATTGAAAAACAGACTTTAATTCCGACAAGTGATCAACATTGATGATAACCTTCTCCCATTTGTCAAATGAGGCAGTGCCCGAAATCCAATTTTTTACAGATTTGTTATACTCCTCCAATAAAAAATCTAAACCTTGGTGGGCATCTCTTCTGCAGCTTTTCGAAAATGATTCATGTGCTTTTAAAAATTATTAATAGCTGGTGGCAATAACATTCTTTGAATTTGTTCAAACAAGATGATAATTTGATATTTTGTGTGTCTTCTGGCAAACCAGACCTCTGAAAAAACGGATCGTGCTGTTTGAATTAAAATTTGAATTATTAAATCTAACACCTTGCCGAAACATAAAAACAACATCGATGTAGGGCATAACTGTGTTTACGAAAAAGGACAGAAATTTATCATTTTGAGATTCAATCCAATTTATAAAATTATCATAATGAATGGGAGATTTTTCGTTTTCAGATTGTTTCACAAAGGGTCTTAATAATTCCAACCAAAGAGCTTCTCTGAATTTATCGAGGTTGTCAAATGAAAGGTGATGGTTAGCGCAACTTTTCATGAACTGCTGTGTTTTTGGAGATACGTAACCCTGAGATTTTAAAAAAATTTTATATATGACTTCCCATAAGACTTCTGCCACACCTTTAGTCATGTTCATTTCTTCATGTCCCAACCCTGTTATCGGAATATCCCACCCATACATTTCGGGATCTTCAAATATTATTTGCCAAAGGAGGGTCATCGGTGAACCGTCACAAACAATAAAACACCACTGCTGATCACCAGTGCCGTATGTAGAAATTCCTGCGTCTTTGCCAATATGGTTTAACACTAATTTTATAGATTCTTTACTGCCAGGATTTACAAAAATAGGTGAAATAAGACCAATATCCAGGGAATCTAATTCACGTAATACACACTTTTTTTTCGGAACGCTGTTCTCCGTAATTTTTTTCAAAAGTTGATGTTTTATTTTCAGGGTTTTTAGATGGTTCATAGAAATGAAATTTTAGATTCTGTGAATTTTCAGTCAAATTTGGTTTTTCTTGATTACTTTCATTTAAATTGCTCTTCTTAAATGCACGCATATTAATTTTACAAATATCACACGTAACTTTTCTTTTTTTCCACAACTTTCCACAAATCGGACATTTAATTGTGTCGACAGAAGCTAAATTTTCTTTAATTTTCTTGTCAATTGTATTCAGTGAGCCATTTATAGTTAGATGTGGAAGTATTTCAGAGAAATATACATTCACAAAATCTATATAAGTGTTCCTTACAACTTCTTTATCTACATCAAAGGGAAAATCAGCATTTGCCTCCGATAGATTCTGAAATAATCTCCAATGACTCGGGTGGTATTTACGATCAAACTGGAGAAGGTTATCATCTTTTACACTAACTTTTACTACGTTTGTCATAATTTGTACAACTTGTTTGTTGAAATTTCTTGAAAGCCAGGATCTTAGAAGTCGTTGGTTGTTATCAAAAGCATAAAAAAGTGAAGATGTTTTTGAGTGTGAATTTTGTTGACTATAATTTTCATGAGCATGAAGCTCAAATAGCCAAGACGTTAAATGATCATAGCTTCCAGATGGAATCAACTGATTCATGGTGTTAATGCTCACTTTACTTCCGGTTGTGCCATAATTTACAGAAGCCGCAAGTGCACAAAGTGGAGAAACATATTTGTTATTTCTAGAGCCAGCAATACATTCTCCAATTACAGCATTTTTTAACAGTTTAACATTATCATTTTGAGGGAATTGTTTATTTTCTGTTAGATATTGAATAAACGTACTCATCACTTTATTTTGATTTTCAATAGTGTTTCTTGGATTAATATTTTTCAAATACTCGAATGAAAAATCTGGCGTAAATAGAGAGGAGTTTAAAAGATTCATGTTTTCAATGATACCTAATTGTATTGCAGTTTCAACTCGATTTTCCTCTGTATCAAGCGTAAATGAATGATGACTAGTATTAAGTAGGTTTTGTATCTCATTTTTTAAACTTGCATTTTCTCTTTTGAGCAGCGTTATTTCAGTATCTTTCAGTTCTATCTCTCTGTTCTTGTGATTTAACAAATTTTTAAACATAGATATAATTTTTAGTGCAAAATTAATCCCTTTGTCCATGACTTTTTGAAGAAGGCTTTTTTCATCAATTTTGACTGCCATTTCAGCATCCTCATCGTCAAACGAATTGAAGACACCACTACAGTCCTCTCTTAATTCAGTTTCTGTAATCAAATTTACTACAAATTGTAATACAATATCATCACTTCTCATGTCATAAATTTCGAAAAGTTATATGCTGATGAGTACAAAAGTGATGTGATGTTGTCCAATGTGAAGAGAAAAAGTGTGTATGTTGGGGGGTGGGGTGGGGGTGTGTTGGTTTTGCATTCATAATTATACCTCTGCCTTTACTGGACCAATCCGCAATAGATCTTTGTAAACTGAACATTTTTAACATACCAGAAGAAAAAAGAGAAAAAATGTTTCAAAGTTAAAAGTTTGTATTTTAGTTATCTATTTGATCAATGTAAAATGAATCCTTTATTTAGAGTCGTGTTCAAGAGCCAAACACAGACCAAACTGGTGGAATTGCGACGGGCACTAACTGTGCTCCATTATTGACTGACCTGTTTTTATATTCCTATGAAGCAGAATTAACTTTAAAAAATGGTATTTATATTTTTCTTTGAAAATCCTCTTTTATAATGAAACTTTTTTGCCAGTATTCCAATATTATGAGCTATTATATATATACCACAGTGTCAAAGAATACATAGATCTATATTTGTTGTTTGATGTAACTTTCTCAACATATATTTTCATGATAGACATTATACCAAGCTTATGCACATTTACCTTCTTATTCACTTTATGTGCAATGATAAATTTACTCATAAGAAAAAATTGGAGAAGTGAAATAGAAAATCGTGCTTTATTGTTATTCTAATAGTGCATCGTGATACATGTAGACACTAACCAGGAAGTCTATCTTCCTCTATGCAAGGTTTCTTAGGGTTGATTGCTGCATTATCCTCTGTATTCTTCCTCTTCTTCGATATCTTTTTTTAAAAATGATTTTAAAATATTCATTCTTTTCAACCATTAAATTATTCTTGTATGCACAAAATGAGAGAGAGAGAGAGAGACTCACTTGATGTAATCCTAATACTCGCGTCTGGTCTGACGTTAGATTAGCAGCTGTTTCGATACAAAGGTCACAAAATTTCCTTTCTCGTATACGTTGTATACGTGTTACCGAAAGTGAATTGAAGACATCAAGTGCCTGCTTTGGGATATTTTTTATGCCCTTTAGCCTGACAGGTCCTTTGCCTGCTGCTCATTTCTCGTGCATAGTGCAAGAGCAGCTGGTTTCAAACTTTCCTAATCCAGGAAACA